CTACGCCGAAAGGCCGACATCCGGGCATCCGAGCGACCCTCCAAGAGAATCCTTATTTGGAATGTTTACTTCGACAAGCGGGCGGAGGAGTGGGAGAGGGTGTTCCAGAGGTAGGGTTGGCTCTCGTTCTCTCGGTTGGTTGACCTTTTTTTTTTTTTAGCTTTTTTGGGAGGTTGAGTATCTTATATGGGGGTATTATGAGTGTTTGGCTTGTTTCAGGTTCTGTGCGTAGATACGCGTGCATATACGCACAACAACACACACACACACACACACACACACACACACACACACACACACACACAACACACACACACATATACACAATATTTATATATATATATATATATTATATATATATATATATATATGATATATATATATGCATGTATAACATATACATATGCGTATAAGTATTCTATTTAAGATATTTTGGAAATGAGAGAGAGAGAGAGAGAGAGAGAGAGAGAGAGAGAGGAGAGAGAGAGAGCGAGAGAGACAGCGAGAGCGAGAGAGAGGAGCGATAGAGAGAAAGAGAGCGAGCGAGATTTAGAGAAAGAAAGAAAGAAAAAAAGAAAAAAAGAAAAAAAAAAAAAACTTCCACATTCCAAGACTCTCCACCTCCTCCCCTCCCCCTCCTTCCCCCCCCCCCTCCACCCCCCAAGCCCATACGCACTGACCCCCCAACCCCCCCCCCCCATCCCTCGCCAGGCTCCTCAACCGCGACTGCTCCGTCAGCGACTGCGACATCGTCTACGACCACAGGTTCCTCGACACAGCTGATGCCGTCCTTCTGAAGAGGGTGCAGGACGACGTGCTTCCTCACTACCACCCCGAGGGCCAGGTGTGGGTCTTCTTCTCCCTCGAGGCCCTGCAGCGTGAGTCTCTGTCTGTGTGTCGTTAGATCGGAGAGCGTTGGTCGTTTTATTTCTGTGTTGTGGTTGGTCGTGTTGTTGGTGTTTTGTGGTTATTTTGTTCTTTTTTGTGGTTGTGTTCTGTGTTGTGGTTGTTTTGTTTATGTTTTGTTCTTGTTGTGGTTGTTCTTGTTGTTGTTTATGTTATTTTGTTCTTTTTTGTGGTTGTTCATGTTATTTTGATCTGTGTTGTGGTTGTGGTTGTTTGTTTGGTGTTTGTTGTGTCTGTGTTGTGGTTGGTCTGTGTTGTTGTTTTTGTTTTTTTGTTCTGTGTTGTGGTTGGTCGTGGTTGTTTGTGTTTTTGTTTCTGTGTTGTGGGTTGTTCTTGTTGTTGTTTATGTTTTTTGTTTCTGTGTTGTGGTTGGTCGTGTTGTTTGTGTTTTGTTTGTTTCTGTTGTTGTGGTTGTTTCTTGTTGTTGTTTATGTTATGTTTTGTTTGTGTTTGTGTTGGTCGTGTTGTTTGTGTTTTGTTTCTGTGTTGTGGTTGTTCTTGTTGTTGTTTATGTTATTTTGTTCTGTGTTGTGGTTGTCGTGTTGTTTGTGTTTTGTTCTGTGTTGTGGTTTTCTTGTTGTTGTTTATGTTATTTTGTTCTGTGTTGTGGTTGGTCGTGTTGTTTTTGTGTTTTGTTCTGTGTTGTGGTTGTTCTTTGTTGTGTTTTATTGTATTTTGTTTCTGTTGTGTTGTGGGTTGGTTCGTGTGTTTTGTGTTTTGTTTCTGTGTTTGTGGTTGTTCTGTGCTTGTTGTGTTTTGTTATTTTGTGTTTTGTGGTTGGGGTCGTGTGTTTGCTGTTTTGTTTTCTGTGTTTGTGGTTGTTCCTTGTTGTTGATTTATTGTTAGTTTCCCGTTCTTGTTCTGTGTTGTGGTTGGTCCGTGTTTGTTTGTGTTTTGTTTCTGGTGGTTGTACGGTTGGTAAGTAGTATGTTTGTGTTTTGTTTCTGTGTTGTGGTTGGTCCGTGTTTGTTTGTGTTTTGTTCTGTGTATGGGTGGTTGTCGTTGTTTTTGTGTTTTGTTTCTATTTGTCGGGTTGGTCGTGTTGTTTGTGTTTTGTTCTGTGTTGTGGTTGGTCGTGTTGTTTGTGTTTTGTTCTGTGTTGTGGTTGGTAGTGTTGTTTGTGTTTGTGTTCTGTGTCTGGTGGTTGGTCGTGTTGGGTTTGTGTTTTGTGGGCGTGTTTTGCTTTTTTTGTTGGTTGGTCGTGTTGTTTGCTGTTTTGTTTCTGTGTTGTGGTTGGTCGTGTTTTTTGTGTTTTGGTTCTGTGTTGTGGTGGTCGTGTTGTTTGTGTTTTGGTTCTGTGTTGTGGTTGACGTGTTGTTTTGTGTTTTGTTTCTGTGTTGTGGTTGGTCGTCGTGTTTTAATGTTTTTGTTCTGTGTTGTGGTTGGTCGTGTTGTTTGTTTTTGTTTTCTGTTTTGGGTTGGGTCGTGTTTGTTTGTGTTTTTGGTATTCTGTTTTGTGGTTGGTCGTGTTGTTGTGTTTTGTTTTCTGTTTGTGGGTTGGTCGTGTTTTGTTTGTGTTTTGTTTCTGTGTTTGTGGTTGGTCGTGTTGTTTTTGTGTTTTGTTCTGTGTTGTGGTTGGTCGTGTTTGTTTGTGTTTTTGTTCTGTGTTGTGGTTGGTCGTGTTGTTTGTGTTGTTGTTCTGTGTCGGTTGTGTGTTTTATGTTTTTTCTGTGTTGTGGTTGGTGTGTTGTTTGGTTTTGTTTTCTGGGTTTGTGGTTGTTCGTGTTGTTTGTGTTTTTTTCTGTGTTGTGGTTGGTGTGTTGTTTGTGTTTGTTCTGTTTGTGGTTGGTGTGTTGTTTGTGTTTTGTTCTGTTTGTGTGGTCGTGTTGTTGTGTTTTGTTTCTGTTTTGTGGTTGTCGTGGTTGTTTGTGTTTTTGTTTCTGTGTTGTGGTTGTCGTGTTGTTTGCTGTTTTGTTTCTGTGTTGTGGTTGCCGTGTTGTTTGTGTTTTGTTCTTGTTTGTGGTTTGGTCGTGTTGTTTTGTGTTTTGTTCTGTGTTGTGGTTGTTGTTTGTGTTTTGTTCTGTGTTGTGGTTGGTCGTTTGTGTCTGTGTTGTGGCTGTTCTGTGTTGTGTTGTTTTTTGTTCTGTGTTGTGGTTTGGTCTGTTGTTTGTGTTTTGTTCTTTTTTGTGGTTGGTCGTGTTGTTTGTGTTTTGTTCTTGTTGTGGTTGGTCGTGTTGTTCTTGTGTTTTTTATGTTCTGTGTTGTGTGTTGTGTCTTGTGTTGGTCGTGTTGTTTTGTTTTTGTTCTGTGTTGTGGTTGGTCGTGTTGTTTTGTGTTTTGTTTCTGTGTTGTGGTGGTCGTTGTTGTTTGTGTTTTTGTTCTGTGTTGTGGTGTTGTTGTTTGTTTTGTTTTTGTTCTGTGTTGTGGTTGGTCGTGTTGTTTGTGTTTTGTTCTGTGTTGTGGTTGGTCGTGTTGTTTATGTGTTTGTTCTGTGTTGTGGTTGGTCGTGTTGTTTTGTGTTTTGTCTGTGTTGTGGTTGGTCGTGTTGTTTGTGTTTTGTTCTGTGTTGTGGTTGGTCGTGTTGTTTTTGTGTTTTGGTTTCTGTGTTGTGGTTGGTCGTGTTGTTTGTGTTTTGGTGTTGTGCTGGTGTTGTGGTGTTGTTGTGTGTTCGTGTTTGTGGTTCGTGTTGTTTGTGTTTTGTTCTGTTTGTGGTTGGTCGTGTTGTTGTGTGTTTTGTTCTGTGTTGTGGTTGGTCGTGTTGTTTTTGTGTGTTTGTTCTGTGTTGTTTGTGTTGTTTGTGTTTTGTTTGTGTCGTGTTGTTTGTGTTTGTTTTTGTGTTGTGGTTGGTGTGTTGGTTTTGTGTTTGTTTCTGTTTGTGGTTGGTCGTCGTGTTGTTTGTGTTTTGTTTCTGTGTTGTGGTTGGTCGTGTTGTTTGTGTTTTGTTCTGTGTTTGTGGTTGGTCGTGTTGTTTGTGTTTTGTTCTGTGTTGTGGTTGGTCGTGTTGTTTGTGTTTTGTTCTGTGTTGTGGTTGGTCGTGTTGTTGGTGTTCTGTTCTGTGTTGTGGTTGGTCGTGTTGTTGGTGTTTGTTCTGTGTTGTGGTTGGTCGTGTTGTTTGTGTTTTGTTCTGTGTTTGTGGTTGTGGTGTTTTGTTGTTTATGTTTTTGTTCTTTTTTTGTTGGTTGTTCATGTTATTTTGATCTGTGTTGTGGTTGTTCTTGTTGTTTATGTTTTGTTCTGTGTTGTGGTTGTTCTTGTTGTTTTGTTTGTTCTGTGTTGTGGTTGGTCGTGTTGTTTGGTTTTTGTTCTGTGTTGTGGTTTTGTTCATGTTGTTTATGATTTGTTCTGTGTTGTGGTTGTTCATGTTGTTTATGTTTTGTTCTGTGTTGTGGTTGTTCTTGTTGTTTTTGTTTTTGTTCTGTGTTTGTGGTTGGTTCTGTTGTTTATGTTTTGTTCTGTGTTGTGGTTGTTCTTGTTGTTTATGTTTTGTTTCTGTGTTGTGGTTGGTCGTGTGTTTATGTTTTGTTCTGTGTTTGTGGTTGTTCTTGTTTGTTTATGTTTTGTTCTGTGTTGTGTTGTTCATGTTTTATGTTTTGTTCTGTGTTGTGGTTGTTCTTGTTGTTTATGTTTTGTTCTGTGTTTGTGGTTGGTCATGTTGTTTATGTTTTTTGTTCTGTGTTGTGGTTGGTCCGTATTGTTTATGTTTTGTTCTGTTGTTGTGGTTGTTCATGTTATGTTCTTATTTTTTTTGTTGGTTGTTCATGTTGTTTATGTTTTGTTTCTGTGTTGTGGTTGTTCATGTTTGTTTTGTTATTTTGTTGTTTTTGTGTTTGTGTCTGTTATGTTATTTTTGATCTGTGTTGTTTGTTTCATGTTTGTTTATGTTATTTTGTTCTTTTTTGTGGTTGTTCATGTTTTTTGTTCTGTGTTTTTGTTGTTCGGTTCATGTTGTTTTTTTATGTTATTTTGATTGTCTTCGCTCAATGGGTCATGTAATCACTACTGTTTATTGTTCATTAAAGTGTTAACAGGAATTCATGAACAATTACTGACGGGTTGTGATCTAAATTCGTGGGTTTTTAGTCATAGGTCAGAAAGCCATTGGTTAGATCCTGGCGGTGATCACGAATATACACAGAGAAAAAATAGTTTCTTTACCATTTATTCCAATCCGTTACCCCCCCCCCAAAAAAAAAAAAAAAAAAAAAAAAAAAATTGCGTCCAATCTTAGGAAAATAGAAACTGGCAACTGACCCTGGAAGACTCCGATTCTTCAAGTCTCTTTTTAATTTGTTCTTTTATGTATTTTATCAATTATTATCTATTTTATTATCTATTTTATTATCTATTTTATTATTTTTTTTTATCAATTTATTATCTATTTATTATCTATTACTAAAAATTCTAATCATTTGAAACTTTGGACTTTAGTATAGATATGTACGTTATCTTTTCAAACTCAAATACAATATATATTCTTACTTTATAACTATTTTTTTCTCTCTCAAAAGAAACATTTTACTTTTTTCTTTTCTAACATTAGACGCAGCCAAGTGGCCATCATTATTTTATCAATATCATAACTGCAATAATCTTATCATCATCGTTATCATCATCCCTAACATGCATTAATATTTCTATTGTTGCCTTTATTATCACCACTATTATTATTTTCACCATTATGCCTATTATGACGTAATTCATTTGCTGTTCCACCCCTAGGACCCGTTTTTTTCAGCAACGTTAATATTATTTGATATTTCGAAAAATATCATCACTATATATCCAATACAAAGGAACAATAAAGGTGAACAGTTTAAGCTTCAGAGTTAATTTTTTTTCCAGTCAGCGGATGTACCTAAACCATGAACCGTATTCGTGTTGACAAACGTAGAAAAGGTATGAATGAGAATGAATATTTTCACAAAGCAAGAGGCGTTTTTTGACCGGTTTCGAAAAGATCTGCTTCAGAAATGCCTACGTACGAATTTCTGACGAATATATATATATACATATCTTCAAAACAGGATGTATTTTTGTCTTGAATTTCTGACGAATATATATCTTCAAAACCGGATGTATTTTTGACGATGTATTCGAAACCGGTCAAATACATTTTTAATGCCTTGCGAAGACCTTCATTCTCACCCATACCTTTTCTACAAGCAATTAACCCTTTCGCCACTGAACTCGACCTTCCAGACTACGACTGGAGGATCCCGGATGAGGCTCGACGCATCTACAACTGGACGATGACGTACCATTCCTTCTCCGACGTCGTTGTTCCCTATGGGCGTGCCACCCCCCTCCCCCCGCACGCCCAAAACCTCTCCTTATCCTCTGGTTCGTGTCAGTTCGGTGTTTTTCTTGGTTTGGAGAATCGTCTCTGTGAATAGGGGTCCTTTGTGCCGCGTGGGGGACGTGGGGAGAAGGGGGACGTGAGGGAGAGAGGAAAGGGTTGGTGGAGGATGGGTGTAGGGTTTGTGTTTCCGTGTCAACACTATTCCGGATTTTTTAGTAGTCCGATTCGCCCCCCCCCCTCCCCCTCTCTTTCTCTCTTTCTCCTCTCCCCCCCTTCTCTCACTCACTCACACCACACACACACACACACACACACACACACACACACACACACACACACATATATGTATGAGTGTATTACCAACTAGATGAAATGTGAATGATGTAAGCACAATGGCACAGCCCTTCAGTTATCTAGAACTAATGTTTGATTGGTAACCCTTTACATCCTACCCTGACTTTTTACATGACATGTGCACTGCATTGTAAATGTATTTTATCAGACCAAATCAATCTTTCTCTTTCTCTCTCTCTCTCTCTCTCTCTCTCTCTCTCTCTCTCTCTCTCTCTCTCTCTCTTCTCTCTCTCTCTCTCTCTCTCTCTCTCTCTCTCTCTCTCTCTCCTTATGTGTGTGTGAGTATCCCTCTCTCTCTATCTAATCTAATCAGCTAACACTTTATATCCCTGTTTTCTTATATATTGATTCTTGGAAATCCTAACAATAGAGTTCTTGCTCAGAAGCAGAATGAGATTACTACAGAATTTCAAGAAAGTTACCATGTTTTCTTTTCCTCACACTGGACACAGGATAAATCTTCATCTGCATTGAGTATAATTCTGAAGAAGTGATTGAAATGCATTCATTGCTCTGCTCTTCATTCTCATTTATACGTTCTCTTTAATTCCCTTCCATGTCTTTGTGTTGCATTTGTAATTTTTTTCCGGGTAACTGTAAAACCTCATATATACATTAATTAAATTCATTGCCTTTGTGTTGTTTTGGTTCCCTTCTGGCACATGAGGGACGTGGCCACAAATTCTTGTTCATAGACTTATTCTGAACAGTTCATTCCCTTTCTTGACAAGTATATTTTGGTGCTGGTTTCTTATCCTAAATATACCTACTTCATAACCCTGTTCATACATATACATACAGTCTACAGTATAGTAGTATGTTTGTTACGACAATGGTAATAGAAAGTAACCTACACTTATTTACCAACGTAACGCCAACACCCAATGACCAGTGACCCAACATGGCACTATTGACCTCAGTGCAATGTTCTCCCCAGATAAGAGGAACTATTGGCAGGAGAAGAAAAAGGACGGGGTGATGGTGGCGTGGATGGTCAGCCATTGCCACACCGCCTCCAACAGGGAGGGCTACGTCGCTCACCTACAGAGGTAAGGTTGATTTTTAGGTTTTTGTTTTTTTTATATTTATGTATTAGTTTCTTTATTGTTCATGTTGCGATGCAACGTCGCTTATATATCTGAGCTGTATGAGATGATGTGTGATGTGAACAATTGATGATACACAGATAAATACTCATTCACACGCGCACACCTACACAAACACACACACACACAGCACACACACAACACACACACACATACAACACACACACACAACAAACGCACACACAGCATAAATACAACACACACACATATACACACATTTACGTATATACGTGCAAGTACGTATGCACAAACACACACACACACACACAACACACACACATACAAACACATACACACACACACAGCATACATTACAAAACACACAACACAACATACATACAACACACACACACACACACAAACATACGCACAACACACACACATATACACACATTTACGTATATACGTGCAAGTACGTATGCACTTCTAACATAGACATCAAGCCTAACACAAATATCTTGTAAGTATTCGTGTTTGTTGATGTCTATAAGGTTGTTTGTGATTTTGTACAGGATTGTAAGTCTGTGTGCTTGTCTTCGTGTCCTCATGGAGTAATACCACCACCCACAGGTTCATGGAAGTTGACATATATGGGAAATGTGGCCCCATGAGTTGCGCAGACCGGTTCACGCTCAGCCGCCTCACGCCCAACCACGAGGAGTGTTTTCAGATCATGGGCTCGTACATGTTCTATCTAGCTTTCGAGAATGCAATCAGTACGTGGTAATATTTTTTTTTTTGGGTGGTTTTGTTGAGATATTTTTTTTTTGTTAGATTTTGATTTTTTGATTTTTGAGTTGAGATTCCGTGTGTATGGAAGTTACGTTTGATATGTTTTTTTTTTTTATATGTAAAAGGTGTAATTAACGTAATTAGTATGATTTTTGTTACCTTTACCATATCATATCCTGTTACTTACTCATATCTTTTCTCCCTCACTCACATGTCTACGAAAATATCCACTTAGAATAGTCACTCACAATCTTGGCTACTACTACTACTACTTTCACTTCTACCTTTCTACACCTTCCTTCTTCACTTCTGCCAAGTAAACACCCTCTTTGAATAGTAACCCCAAAGCCTGGCTACTCCTCCTACTCCCCATGTAAACACTCCCCAACAAAGTAGTCACTCACAAGCCAAACTATTTCTGATAGTCATGTAAACACTCAAAATAGTCACTCGAAAGCCTAGCTACTTTTTAGCCCCTATGTTTACACTCTACAGGCGAAATAGTACAACAATAACAATAACTACTGCTACTATTCCTACTACTACTACTGCTGCTACTATTACTATTACGACTACTACTACTACTACTACTACTACTACTACTACTACTACTACTACTACTACTACTACTACTACTACTACTACTACTACCTACTGCTCCTACTACTTTCACCTCTACCTTTCTAAACCTCTCATTACCTCTGCTAAGTAACCACACATCTTAAATAGCACCCCTACAGCCTGACTACTCCCCATAGAAACACTCCCCAACAAACTACGCCCCGTGTATACAATCCCTAGTGAAAAAGTCACCCAAAAGCCTGGCTGCTCCTACTACTCCCCGTGCGTAAACATTCCCCAAACAAGATAGAACCCACTCACCAGACTACCACTCCTACTCCTCATGTAAAAACTCCCCAACAAACTAGGCTTCTTGTATACAATCCCCAGTGAAACAGTCACCCTGGCTGCACCTACTACTCCCCGTGTAATTCCCCAACAAAATAGAACCCACAAACCTATCATTCCTACTCCTCATGTAAACATTCCCCCGACAAAATAGAACCCACAAACCTGACTACCACTCCTACTCCACCGACATGTAAAAACCACCAGGCTACACCTCCTCCGGCTCTCACCTCCTGTCCAAATTCCCTCCTTCAGGCACGGATTACGTCACCGAAAAACTGTTCAAGACTCTACAACTCGACGTTATTCCGGTGGTGTTCGGAGGCGCCGACTACGCCTCCATAGCGCCTCCGAATTCCTACATTAACGCCTTGGACTTCCTGTCTCCGATTGACCTGGCTGAGTACCTGAAGAAGGTCGCTAGCAATGAGACTCTTTATAACAGGTGGGTCGTGGGAGGAGGAGGGAGAGGAGGTGAGGGAGAAGAGGAGGAGGAAGAGGAGGAGGAGGAGGAGGTGAGGTGGAGGTGAGGGAGGAAGAGGAGGAGGAGAGGAGGGGGAGGTGCCGGTGAGGGAGGAGGAGGAGGAGGAGGAGGAGGAGGATTGACGGGAGGGTTACGATGAGGGAGAAGGTGAGGGAGAGAAGGGTGAAGGAAATGGGGGATGGGGCTAGAAGGGAAAGGGGGAAAGAAAGGGAATGCTGGAGTAGGAAGGGAGGGAATGAAAATGAAAAGGAGAGGGGAGGAAACAAAAAAATTGTGATTATGAAGTTAATTAATTCTCCATGCTCAAGTTTCATTCCAGGTTTACTATGATTCCGTTACCCAAATCAATTAGCCATTTCGTCTATATTTTATTTTTTTAAGGCTATATTACATCTTTTCGTGAGATGTCTCTTTTCATCCACCATACAAAGTTAGTGCAATCACTCGGCCCCGAATACATCTAGTCTTCCACTTGTTTAAAACAAAATCTCGTCATTTGCGAGGATCAGATGGTATTTAAGTAGAATCTGAAACCCTAAAGAGGAATTTCTAGCGGCGAGTATAAGAGCAAAAACCTAACGCGTCACTTACCTCGCTTTCCTTATACTTTCTTAAAAAAAAAAATTATCCCCCATCTTCTTCTCTTAAATAATCCTCAATCTCCCTTCCCTTTCTCTTCCTTAGTCCACATTTATCAACCTTATTCCACATCCATTGCTTTATTCCCTCTATTCCCTTATTCTCGCCCCTTTTTCACAGCTACTTTCGCTGGAAGGGGAAATATATGATCGACCTAGGTCACCCCGTCAGGCCGCTCGTGTGTGACCTTTGCGCCAAGCTTCACGGTGTGCCTGTGGTCAGCGCCCCGAAGCCCTGGAGGTAAGGGTGGTCACCCGCTGTTGCTGTTGTCATTGTAGTTGTCATGATTGTTGTTGTTGGATTTTCTCGTTGTTATTTTTGTTGTCTCTGTTGTCATTGTTGTTGTTGTTATTGTCATTGCTATTGGTGTTGTCACTATCATTATTTTTTTGTCATGTTACTGTTGCTGTGGCTGTTGTTGCCATTGTTGTTGTTATTTCTACTGTTGTAGTCATTGTTATTGGTGTTATTATCATTTTTGTTGTCACTGTTACTGTTGCTGTCACTGTGTTCCATTGTGTTGTTATTTTACTGTTAGTCATTGTTATTTGTTATTATCATTTTGTTGTCACTGTTACTGTTGCTGTCACTGTTGGTTATTTTCACTGTTATTGTTGTCAATGTTATTGGTGTTATTATCATTGTTTTTGTCTCATTACTGTTGCTGTCATTGATGTTGTTGTTATTCTTGTTGTTTTTTTGTATTTTTTTACAAAGAATTTAAGGATTTAGGGATTTAGCTGGATGACTATGATAAAGAGAAGGAAGAAGGAGAGGAGGGAGGTTGAGAGGGTAGGGGAGGGAGAGGGGGAGAAGGAGGGAGAAAGAGAAGGAAGGGATGGGGGAGGGGGAGGTAGGGAGGGAGGAGGGAAGGAAGAAAGGAAGGAATGAAGGAATGAAGGAGAGAGGAGAGAGAGAGAGAGAGAGAGAGAGAGGAGAGAGAAGGAGGAGAGAGAGAGAGAGAGAGAGAGAGAGAGAGAGAGAGAGAGAGAGAGAGAGAGAGAGAGAGAGAGAGAGAGAGAGAGAGAGAGAGAGAGAGAGAGAGAGAGAGAGAGAGAGAAGAGAGAGAGAGAGAGAGAGAGAGAGAGAGAGAGAGAGAGAGAGAGAGAGAGAGAGAGAGAGAGAGAGAGAGAGAGAGAGAGAGAGAGAAGAGAGAGAGAGAGAGAGAGAGAGAGAGAGAAGAGAGAGAGAGAGAGAGAGGAGAGAGAGAGAGAGAGAGAGAGAGAGAGAGAGAGAGAGAGAAGAGAGAGAGAGAGAGAGAGAGAGAGAAAGAGAGAGAAGACAGAGAGAGAGAGAGAGAGAGAGAGAGAGACCAGCTATATAGATATATAGATATATATAAAATATATAGATAAATATAAAGATATATATATAGATAGAGAGAGAGAGATGGAGACCAGTTCCCCTCCAAACCCTTAAACAACCTAACCACAACCACCTGGATCCCCACCAGGAGCAAGTGCGCCGCCAGGAACCAAGAAGGAGCTCAGGATCTCGAAGGAACCTACAGTGACATCGAAGGAACGTACAAAGCTGTTGACAATCTGCGTGCCTGGGATTCTCAGACCTACACCTTGAGAAAAGTTTATCTCTGATTAAAGCTAAAGCTGTTTTTTTGTCATTTATTTGTATGTTGATTTATTTATTTGGTTATTTGTTTGTTTGTTTCATTGTTTATTTATTTATTTATCTATAGATTTATCTATATACGTATCTACATCTTGAGAAAAAGTTTATCTCTGATCAAAGCTAAAACTATTTTTTCTAATTTATTTGTATGTTGATTTATATTTGGTTATTTGTATGTTTGTTTTCATTGTTGTTTATTTATTTATTTATTTATTTATCAATAGGTTATCTATATACGTATCTACATCTTGAGAAAAGTTATCTCTGATTAAAGCTAAAAGTGTTTTTTTTTTTGTCATTTATTTGTATGTTGATTTATTTATTTGGTTATTTGTCTCTTTGTTTCATTGTTTGTTTAATTGTTTATTTATTTATTTATCTATATACGTATCTACATCTTGAGAAAGTTTATCTCTGATTAACACTAAAGCTGTTTTTTTGTTATTTATCTCTATGTTGATTTATTTGGTTATTTGTTTGTTTGTTTCATTGTTTGTTTATTTGTTTATTTATTAATTTATCTATAGATTTATCTATATACGTATCTACATCTTGAGAAAAGTTTATCTCTGATTAAAACTAAAAGTGTTTTTTTTTTTTTGTCATTTATTTGTATGTTGATTTATTTATTTGGTTTATTTGTCTCTTTGTTTCATTGTTTGTTTAAATTGTTTATTTTTATTTATTTATCTATATACGTATCTACATCTTGAGAAAAGTTTATCTCTGATTAAAACTAAAGCTGTTTTTTGTCATTTATTTGTATGTTGATTTATTTATTTGGTTATTTGTTTGTTTTTTTACTGTTTGTTTGTTTTGTCTTTGAGAAAAGTTTATCTCTGATTTAATTTTTTTTTTTTCATTTATTTGTAATATTCATTGTTTACCTATATACTATGTATCTACATCTTGAGAAAAGTTTATCTCTGATTTTAAAAACTAAAAACTGTTTTTTTTTATTTATTTATGTATTATTGATTATTTTATTTGGTTATTTGTTTGTTTGTTTCATTGTTTATTTGTTTATCTGTAGATTTATCTATATACGTATCTACATCTTGAGAAAGTTTATCTCTGATTAAAACTAAAGCTGTTTTTTTTGTCATTTTATTTGTATGTTTTTATTTATTTGGTTATTTGTTTTTGTTTTGGTTTGTTATGTTTATTTATTAATTTATCTATAGATTTATCTATATACGTATCTACATCTTGAGAAAAGTTTATCTCTAATCAGATATAACTATAGACTTTTTCTTATTTTTATTTGTAAGTTTATTAATATATTTTGATACTTGTTTGTTTACTTATTGATCTATTTATTCATCAGTATTTTACATTGTCATTATGTCTAAAGTTTACATTTAACGGATTAGTTGCGTCGTTGTTTAAATCAAGAGTTTGTTCATCTTTTGTTATTATGAGTGATGACAAATATTTATTTTTTCCCGTTGTCCCATTAAATTCATGTCACGTTTTATATTGGAATGATTTTTATCCTTTGACGATTGTTATTATCATTATTTTGGGAAAACTGATGACTAAAATGCAACGAATTATAATGGTTATGACACTAATGATGATAATGGTAGTCATTATACTACGAAGTCAATGGTGATAATGATCACAATAGTTACAAAAAACAACAACCACAATGGTAATGGTGTTGAATATCAATGATAATCGGTAGAGAGAGATAGGGGGAGAGATAGATGATAGATAGATAGAGAGACGAGAGAGAGAGAGAGAAGAGAGAGAGAGAAGAGAGAGAGAGAAGAGAGAGAGAAGAGAGAGAGAGAGAGAAGAGAGAGAGAGAGAGAGAGAGAGAGAGAGGATAGAGAGAGAGAGAGAGGGAGGGAGAGAGAGGAAAGAGAAAGAAGAAGAAAAGAGAGAGAGAGGAGAGAGAGAGAGAGAGAGACCCGAGAAGAGTCAAGAGAGGAGAGAGAGAGAGACGAGAGAGAAGAGAAAGAAAGAAAGAAAGAAAGAAAGAAAGAGAGAGAGAGAGAGAGAGAGAGAGAGAGAGAGAGAGAGAGAGAGAGAGAGAGAAGAGAGAGAGAGAGAGAGAGAGAGAGATAAATAAAATAAAAAATAATAAAGCACTTTCGGTATAAGTTTATTGATTATATGAAACAGTGATGTAATTGGGATATTGCATTCGATCGGCCATTTTGAAAACACTTTCGTCTCAGTAAAAAGGAAGTATAGCTAATTCGTGTACAGACAAAGGCATGTTTCTCTCGGTTACACACGGATTATGCTATTTAAAGAGACATGCAGATGTTTAAGGAGACAAGCTGTAATATGAGTGTCAGGACATTTCAGGACTTTCATCCCTTTTCTAGTTATATATTTTTTCTTTATTTTCAAATTACATTTCGTGGCGTAAATGGTAATGGAGCATTCGTTCAGTGATATGATTAGTAAAGTGAAGGTACAATTTGTCTCGAGAACAAATCAGTTTACCCTATAAGTATCCATCATAGAAAATGGTTTTAGGGGATAACTTAAATATTTATTTTTGTTTTTCAGTGCAATGTTTACTTTCCTAGGATATCACTTTCATAAATCACTGTAAGTGCGTGCTTTTTTTGTATTACTTATATTATTTAGTTCATTGGATAAAGCGTAAAAATCCACCCATTCGTTAACTCCAAACGTTTATTCATATCTACACTGTTACAAACGAAAGTTGACAATTTTATTAACTTTTGTTTTAACTGAGATTAAATGTATTTTCTAACGTAATGGGATTAGCTCTTTTCCGGTTTTAAGTTAGAGATTATACACTGACAAAGCGATGCCAAACAGTTCAAATTCCTTTGTAAAATCGAAAGTTGTTATTATCAACACTCGAAAGAGTAATTTTTTAATTGATAATTTCCCTTTATTCTTTGCCAGCTGATATGGCTGAAACAATTACTATTTTTGAATGTCAGATCCAAAACAGATTTTTCATTGTTATTATCAACACAAAACAGAATGTCAGTTTAATTTACGGACCAAAAAGTATTAGTATTAGTTATTAGGAATAAATGAAATTCGATGAGAGTTGTAAGAAATCATATTTTAATAATGAATATCACGGTGTACATAATTTTTTTTTCTAAGCCCTCGTTTACATTTTTTTCCAGATGTTATTGGCATACCAGTTGTATATTTTTGTTCAATATATTACAAATATCCTTGTTCCCATGAATTCATGATGACAGTTCAATACTTATTTACATAACATGAAAAAAAAGGAAACAAAATCATGAATAATATGATACTTATCCTCCATATAACTAAAAAAGAAGAAAAAAGAAAAAGAAAAAGAAGAAAAAGAAAAAAAAACAGAATAAAACAGAAAAAAACAGAATCTACAATACTTTCCCCTCGCACTTCCTTCCCCTTTAAAGAAGAAGAAGAAAAAAAAAACGAACAAAAACGAGAGAAAAAATCCTCCATGTCATCAGTACGACTTCGTCATGAGATCCACGAACTGCTCGTACTTGATGTGTCCGTCGCCGTCGATGTCAGCCTCGCGGATCATGATGTCGACCTCCTCCTGCGACAGCTTCTCCCCCATGGTCATGAGGACGTGCTTGAGTTCGTTGGCGGAGATGACGCCGTTGCCGTCCTTGTCGAACACGCCGAAGGCCTCGCGGATCTCCTCGGGGGCGTCGGCGGGGGTGAAGTCGCGACCCAGCAGGCCCTGGGGGAAAGGGGAGAGGGGTTGGTGCAGTAGCAATAATAAGAAGTAAAGAGGTGAAGAGAAGGGAGGGGAAGAAGGATAAAGGGGGAGGAGAGGAGTTGTGCAATGGCAGTAATAAGAAGTATAGAGGTGAAGAAAAGGGAGGGAAGAAGGATAAGGAGGGGAGGAGAGGGTTGGTGCAATGCAGTAATAAGAAGTATAGAGGTGAAGAAAAGGAGGAAAGAAGGATAAAGGAGGGGAGGAGAGGGGTTGGTGCATGGCAGTAATAAGAAGTATAGAGGTGAAGAAAAGGGAGGGAAGAAGGATAAAGGGAGGGGGGGAGAGGGTTTGTGCAATAGCAGTAATAAGAAGAAAGAGGTGAAGAAAAGGGAGGGAAGAAGGATAAAGGGAGGAGGAGGAGAGGGTTGGTGCAATGGCAGTAATAAGAAGTAAAGAGGTGAAGAGAAGAGAGAGGGGAGGGGAGGAGAGGGGGTGCAGTAGCAGTAATAAGAAGTAAAGAGGTGAAAGAGAAGAGAGGGGAGGGGAGGAGAGGGGTGGTGCATGGCAGTAATAAGAAGTAAAGAGGTGAAGAGAAGGGAGGGGAAGAAGGATAAAGGGAGGGGGAGGAGAGGGGTTGGTGCAATGGCAGTAATAAGAAGTAAAGAGGTGAAGAGAAGAGAGAGGGAGGGGGAGAAGGGGTTGTGCAGTAGTAATAAGAAGTAAAGAGGTGAAGAGAAGGGAGAGGGGAGGGGAGGAGAGGGGTTGGTGCAATGGCAGGTAATAAGTAAAGAGGTGAAGAGAAGAGAGAGGGAGGGGAGGAAGGGGTTGGTGCAATGCAGTAATAAGAAGTAAAGAGGTGAAGAGAAGAGAGAGGGAGGGGGAGGAGAGGGGTTGGTGCAATGGCAGTAATAAGAAGTAAAGGTGAATAAAAAAGGGAAGGGAAAGAAGAATAAAATGTCGAAAATGAATGAAGAATAAGATTAATAGTATGAAGGCCACTTGCATGTCTCTTTCTTGCTTTTGTTTGTCTGGGAAAGTTTGGGAGGAGCTGGCAGTACACGCAGTCTAAAATTAATTGAGCAAGTTATACAAGAACGTGTTTTAGGGTTTTAAGTTTTATATCTACTTAATATTTTTATTTGGCGCCATGGGTAATGTATGTTTAAATTAAATATTGTATACTGATGACTGTCAAGTGACAACAATGATAATGATAATAATGATCACGTTTACGATGATAATGCTGCTGCTGATGTTGGTAATAGCGATGATATAATAGGAATAATAATAATAATGATAGTAATAATAATGATAACAACCGATAACGATATTGATAATGATAATAACAATAATAATAATAATGATAATAATAATAATAAAGATAATGATAGAAAAAATGATAATGATAATATTAATAATGATGATG